CAGGACCTAGGCAACGACACGAAAAAGTGACTGTTTCACTTCTTGTCCTCAAGAACGAGTGGCAAAAGCGTACATGAAGGCACAGTGCATTTCAAAACAGAAAATGAATAAACCGTGGACCAAAACAGTCCAGAGGGATGGAAAATGGAATCGAATGAGTTTTAGAGAGACATGTGAGGGAAAAATTTTTGAAGCGGTTCAAATCACTGGTGAACTGGGCCAGAAACGGTGTTTAGCATTGAAATCGTCATCCCGTTCCCAAGCGATGTTAATAAAACCGGAAAAAATTGCACTATACACTAAACACGGTAAGAACAGTACACGTATACGCACAGTTTTGAGGACTACTGAACCAAAAGCATGGTCTGCTGAACGTCCTGACAGACTCTATCCCAATCCAGCAGTTCGATTAGGAGTTAAAAGGCTTTATCAATTCACCTCAAAGTCCTATGTGATGAGCACTGACGGATAAATAATTTTGATTCGCCACTTCGGTTGTGCACGAAATTATGCGAACTATCGATCTCATCTTCACAGAAAGTTTCAAATACTCCCATTTCGTGTGTGTATAACTTGAACCGCGGGAATGTGCTCAATTTCGTTTTTCATTGACCTGAAACACTGCCAGATCAGCCATAGCGAATGACGCACAGGTGGTCACCCCACCATGTTGAGATTCCGCGCAAAGTAACCCTGCCAATTGTAAACCACCTTTATCGTCGTGAGGTTTGATATGTAGTGAAGCGATTGTCAAAACTGTGGACTACTCTTGTGGTGTTCGGGCTGATCAAATTGAGCTAAATGACCCAATATCATCCAGTTCACACCTTCATACAAAGATATACTTCTACTTGAAAATTATCATCACGTGTTCATTCCTCTCTCCGATTCGATTTTGCAGAGCGCAATCGTGTAAGTAATGATTGAATCAACCCGGCTTGCAGGAAAATCAGAGAACGAACTGAAATTTGTCATTAGTGAAGAAATCCAAGTTAAAAGAAATTATCTCACTTACATTAACGAGACCGCCCTAGACGGTTGTCACGTCTCGTTCATTGCTAGCGTAATGTTGATTTCTGTGAGTAATTTATGTTGTCGTACTTTGTGACTACATGAGATCTTAAATAAATCCATTAGTAGCAAGAGCGATCCGTGGCTGACGGTGATATATAACTACAAAAGTAGCAATCAATTCCAAAAGTGTTATTCCTTGTGGTAGTTAGAATCTGATGAGTGACGTAACCAAACGTCATTACTAAACCACTTCACGATGCAGTCCACCCTTCACATGAAGGTGTAAAATTCGGAAAGACAAATGGAACAGAATTACAGCACAACTCACCGCTCGACGATCGTAGGTCGTATAGTGGGTGGAACGAGCCGAGGCACGCCTGTCTACAAGGGGGAAAATACCAGTGGATCAATTTTCTTTGAATAAACAAACATAAAGAAAATCCGACTACCTACGTACGGTACGTCATTCGGGACGAATAGATCAGTGACAAGCTAACTTTTACGTGAGATAGGGAGCAAATTGTGAGTTCACAGGACCCTGTAACAAATTGCTGGGATACACCCAGGGGCATAGCCGCGAAGCGACGGAAGTGGTATTAGTCTTGTCACTTTAGGTCACATCAGAATGCCTGAAATGATGCGCGAGCACAGTTGGTTTGTGCACTCGGCATACTGATAACAGTGGAACAGTGGAAGTAGAACCACTAAACCCTATTTACTACCTTTCATATTCACATTTACATGGCGAAAGATATCAGTTTGCCGATCACCAGTGAAATTCGCTGTACGATTATGTTGACCACAATTTTTGACGCACGAATACGAAATATCATATATTTCCCACCAAGACCTCAGCACTTCACCACGCATGATTGGATATGAAAACACCTGTGGGGTATCGCGATTCAATCTACCTTGTTCTATAGCACAGATTTATGTTTTACAGTTTTTAGTCAGGCAAAAACAACAATATGTATACATAAATGAACAATAGTTGTTTTGGAGAAGGAAGAAGGCATAACAGAAACGATCACTGCACAAAAACATAGAAGGTACCTGTCGTTCGCCCTGCTGTTGTTCATTGGATCCATTCGTAGGTCCTGGATCCAGAGTTGACCGCGTACGATGTTTGCTGGAATCATCTGTCATCAAGATGTCGAAACGAAATCAAAAGGAGCTTGAATACGTTGGAGTGCAACACAGGAATTTGATACGAAAAACCGTANTGTGGGGGGGGGGGGCTCGAAACATGAGTTTGGTATAAAACGACAGGTATAGTTTTTTTCCCACATGAATGCGTGTGATCAGTGATCACACACCGGCTAAGGTACAATATATGACTTGAGTACATCACGTAACTGTTCATTATCAAACGCTTCGATATTACAAGACAAAAGACTAAGTAAATCAGTGCAAATCGGACAAAAACGAATCCGGAGCTCATGGGAGGAGCTACATCACCAAACTGTATGACAATGTTGCAGTTTAGTTTCAACAGCCATTACTCATACACTTTCGTGCGGCGGTGTTGCTTGCTATCACTTGGTCGTCTATTTCAACGAAGAAGTAAAGAGAATGTACGAATCAGTTTCAAGATAAAAAGAGGATTCATGAAGACTCAGGTTGCAGAGGTTGAAACGCACAAGCATCACTTTCCGACACTCAACTATATATCAGTATGGCATTCAGCATTTGACGATATCCGATCTACATCAAGGAGTGGGCGGTGATGCTAATCGATATCACTACACCAATCAACCAGGTGAGACAGAAACGGATTCAAAAAAATTTACAACTATGGAGAAAATGTAAAAGGAATTCCCAGCCTTCTGACGGTTTTCCTTGCAGGTTTTAGGAGTTATTAGCTTTATTGGCCCATAATTTGTATGATTTCTTTGACCACGCTTGCGAGCGAATTTGGGACCAAATTGCGAGTTCACAGGACCTGAATAGCTGGTTTTCGCGACTGAAGGGTCCACCGCATCTGTTGTTGGTCACACAAAATAGTGTAATAAAACTGATTTAATTAAACAGATGTACGGCACGCTGATTCACGCTCATTGTGAGCGGAACATTTTAACACACACACTTCAACCGTTCCTTATTAACAGTAGACTTACCAGCTTCTCTTAAATATACAACTTCGACCAATTGAAACCATTCTTCGACCTGAAACACGCCCTGCTCGGAAAATAAGTTTTCTCAAAAGGTATAGGGCCTTTGAACTGGACCTGTTGTAATCACAGGTTTAGTCTTGATGTCGGAGTTACAAAACCTCTGGGCTTAGGATAGAAATATGAACAAATTCTAGATAGATACCGTCCATCCGTGATCCAATTGATTTACAAGATAATGAGACCATCTTGTAAAAATCACGGAGAATTTATTTTGATCAACATCGACTCAAAACTTCTCGCTGAGACTAGACTCGGCCCCAATTGTGTACCGCACATGAGCGTTACAGGCACGAGAACCACGCTAGTTTCAAACCTGATTGAGCTTGTGCCGACCATATTTATTCTAGAAAAAAATTGAACATAGACATTCCTTTCGCAGATGCACCACTTTCATTGGCGTTGATCTAGAAGCGGAGTTGGACTCGGTTGAGCACATTGTTCTTCGGTGATGCCTGTCCTGTAAGGGCTTACCGGAGTTTATTGCACTGATAAAAATTCGAGTTGAGATAGCACCGAGAAAGTACTGTTTTTTGCACTTACTTTCTTCGCCAGCAAGCTGTTCCAGTAGAACTTCTTCGTCATCATCGTCATTAGTATCAGGCGTTGGAACATCTAGCAAGGAGTAGGCATACTCTCGATTCGAAGCAGTTGGTCTCCACAATATAATGATCACTCCGAGGATGACCAAGAAAAGCACTTGCCAAAACGCGCTATCAATCCACAAATAAGACCAATTCTGTTGTGATGTAAGAATGAACACAAAAGAGGTTTACAGGACATGTTTCAAATTTGCCAAATTGAAAAATACTTTGCTATCAGGTTTTATCAACAATTGACTGCTCCCGTTCAAGAATGTAGTTGATTAGCGCAAAACCGTTACTCTTGAACAATACTGTCGATTTATTTCACTTTTGGCGGGGGGGAGGAGGATGGGATTCGGGATGAGTCAGTTGATAAATTTGTAACCCATGAAAAACGTTCCAGGTTTCCTCATCGAAGGGAATTTGGGTAAAGAACATAAGAGTTCGTAAAAATCAGGATGGGAAACTGTACAGCACGTTGCACTAATCAACCGATTGGCGAACTATAGTTGATTCGTGGGCAATGACTGTAAAGGAATGCCACGAAATGCACTTCATAATTCTACCCTCTCTCAACGATAGGGTGGAATGTTTTATCTCGGTTTTTACGGTTTTACAGAAAACAAATTTCATAAAATCAAAATAAGTAGAAAACCCGTGATGCGCGAGAGTTCAGAGCAAAGATTGTATTAGAAAACCAGGGAGCGTTCCACCAAAAGAAGAGATAGTAGTCTTAGAAGAGCATGACAAACACGTTGCTACTAGCCACAGTGAGGTTTGTGGTGAATAAAACTAAAGGAAATATCATTAGTGCTTCATTCTGAGTACTGACTGTGTACATTACTAACTACTGACCAACTAACAATGCAAGTGATCCAAAACGGAATGATTTAGACCATGTATTTCAGCTAATCCAATGCACACATGCAGTCGCCTTCGGTTAGTTAACCAGTACTCACCTCGATACAAAAATGACGCTTGAACACCATGACAGACCAAATCATGAAGGCCAAAGATACTAAAAATAAACAGAAACATTTCAATGAGTATGAAAGAGAAACAAGAAAGAGTTAAAATGCATAGGATAAGCACCGCACAATCTAAACGTACGCTCAAGCGATCGGCCGTATCAGAGACAACACGGTACTTTTAAGTCAAGCTAGAGTGCGATAAAGAGATCGAAGAGAACTTGGTATGGTCACGAGGACTGCACACACTGAAAATTGGCGGTTCACATCTACACACACACACACACACACACACAAACTAACTATCAGTACAAAGCTGGCCATAATACTGTAGTATGGTGGATACATGTTTGTTGGATTTCGACGACATCTGATCCGACGATTACAGAAGTTCTAAATATCGCCAACATTTTGAATTTCATGTTCCCCAAGATGAATGTTGCCAACTACTCAGTTGCCTAGGCGCCTGTAGGATTTACAACTGTTGGACCGTGGACACGAAATT